GTACTTCCTTGGTGATCGCTGGAGGTGTGACCTAGGTCAACTTGCCTTTTCTTCACGTCGTGGAGCTTGAAGAAAAGCAGTCTTTACATCGACAGTTGCACAGCCCCAACCACATTGAGATGCCTTTGACACTAGGGATCTTGTACTCACCGTACATAGCCCACCAGCTGCCACTTCTGCATCCTCGTTTGTGGTGGCTTGATTGCCACAAGCAACAAGTCGTGCTTTTCTGTTGAAAGGTGGCTTAATTGTTGCCACAAGTTTTCCAGGAATCACCTCGATCTCATCAGTTCTTTGAAGATCCTGGCGCTGCTCTCCGTTGATGGGTTCGATGGCCTTATGCTTCAAGAGGGAATCGTATGCCGCTTTGATTCAGCCTTTCCATTCCGCCAGCTCTTTTCGAACTTCATCCAGGGTGAGTGTTTTGGTGACCAGGGTCTCCTGCTCTTTGACCATAGGCTCAAGCTTAGCCAAGCCCCGAAGTGCTCCTTCAAGTCGTTGAATTTCATCACCTATATTATATATTTTCTTCAATGTTTCCCCCAACATGTCATAGTAGTCCAATTTGGGCTTCTTCTCTTCGAAGTCAACACAATTCATTGTATTGTAGGAGACAAAGGTTCTTGAAGATGATGGAGGTATTCTTGAACTTCAGGTTGGAGTGGTTGATCTCCTTCCCAGATTTGGAACACTGGTCGAAGTCTTTGAAGACACCAACTGGTCCAGTGCACTCCCCCTGTTGTGGTCCACAGCAGCTTAGAGACGCTTGGAGGGAGAAGATCCGCATGCTGTTTGCCGCGAAGTCTTTCTAGGACGACTGCCATCAGCAAGATGAAGCTCCCCCGGGGTTGGCACCAGCTTTTGGTTCGGATCCAACACTTGCACATCGACTTCAGCATCACCTTGAGGAGCATGAAGTTGCTCGACCACATCATCAGGGCATATTTCCACAGGTTCCTCCACATCATCGTGAAGATGATCTTCCTCTTCACCTTCTGGCATGTAAGAGGGCGAATAGTCATCACCATCCGGTTGTGGGAGTTCAGGAAGAACCGGAGGTAGCTCTGGAGGGTTAACCACCACGGTAGAGCGCATGAAGTTGCCCGTGGTGAGGGACTGAATGTAGTATTTGCTGGTAGTGCTCATGCCCATTGCTGGACCCAAAACCCGGATCTTTTCAAAATGATGATCCCAGTCAGGTCGATGCCATCTTTTGAGCTTCGCAAAGCAGTCAGTGCCGAAAGGAATCAAGGGCAGAAGGGTGATGCCCATGGAGGCCACTTGATCCCGTTGGCGTTGATCCACCGTGTTCCTCAATGCAACGGGCTCAGACTCGCATCGGCGCCTGCTGAATCATCTCCAGCACTACTGGTCTGCAAGATGTCCCTTTGAGTGCACCAATCCTGCAGTTTGACACCCGTGAGCTCCCGAGCCCGATCGCTATCCAAGCTGGCCTCCCTGTTGTGGTTGCCCTGCTCCCCCATGAAGTCCACCTCGCTGGTCTCCAGGTTGAAATGGGTGTTCACCTCCAAGTTGGTTTCCAGACATGGATTGCCCTTGTTGATGAAGATGAGGATTTCCACTGTTGACCTGGACCCAGTCCCTCATGTTGATGTCTTTGCAGGCTTGACGGAGGTTCCATTGCGCCATGGACGGATCAGCATTCGGACGTCCCACACGTTGAAATGGTTGAACTCCATAAGCACCAAAGGGATCTCGACCTGGAAGCCTGCGCATAGTCAAAGCCTCACAGAGGTCCCTGAGTTCTTGCTCAAGTCGTTGGACCCTTTCCGCTTCGGGATCTGGTACTTGTTGAACTCCACCTCTTCTGCTGTTCCAGAAGCCGTGTAGATCACCATATCTTGCTTAGAACCCACATGAAATGATTGAGGTCCCAGCCATGTGTTAACCCCCGCTTCATGGTACTCCTCGTAGTCTCCCAACGGCATGGGCGGCACCGGAGGCAATGGCGGTGGCATTGGATCCTTCTCCACCTGGTCAATTGGCTGCGGTCCATCCGGAAGTCTTGTTCCACCAGGAGTGACTTTGTTCACGTCTTTGGTCTGGCGGTTCGTTGGTGTTGTTGGAGTCGTTCTTGAAGGCACAGACTCCAAACTTGACGCGTCCAACCCATCCCGTTCTTGTTCTTGTTCTTGTTGCTGAACTTGTTGTTGAACTTGTTGTTGAACTTCTTGTTGACCTTGTTGTGGAACTTGTTGATGAACTTGTTGTTGAACTTGTTGATGAACTTGTTGTTGAACTTGTTGTTGAACTTGTTGCTGAACTTGTTGCTGAACTTGTTGTTGAACTTGTTGTTGAACTTGTTGTTGAACTTGTTGTTGAACTTGTTGCTGAACTTGTTTGCTGAACTTGTTGTTGAACTTGTTGTTGACCTTGTTGTTGACCTTGTTGTTGAACTTGTTGTTCAACTTGTTGTGAACTTGTTGTTGACCTTGTTGTTGAACTTCTTGTTGACCTTGTTGTTGAACTTGTTGTTGAACTTGTTGTTGAACTTGTTGTTGAACTTGTTGTTGAACTTGTTGTTGAACTTGTTGCGGAACTTGTTGTTGAACTTGTTGTTGACCTTGTTGTTGGCCTTGTTGTTGAACTTGTTGTTGAACTTGTTGTTGACCTTGTTGTTGACCTTGTTGTGGAACTTGTTGATGAACTTGTTGTTGAACTTGTTGATGAACTTGTTGTTCAACTTGTTGTTGAACTTGTTGTTGAACTTGTTGTTGACCTTGTTGTTGACCATGTTGTTGAACTTGTTGTTGAACTTGTTGATGACATTGTTGTTGAACTTGTTAGTGACCTTGTTGTTGGCCTTGTTGTTGAACTTGTTGTTGACCTTGTTGTTGACCTTGTTGTTGACCTTGTTGTTGAACTTGTTGTTCAACTTGTTGTTGAACTTGTTGTTGACCTTGTTGTTGAACTTCTTGTTGACCTTGTTGTTGAACTTGTTGTTGAACTTGTTGTTGAACTTGTTGTTGAACTTGTTGTTGAACTTGTTGTTGAACTTGTTGTTGAACTTGTTGCGGAACTTGTTGTTGAACTTGTTGTTGACCTTGTTGTTGGCCTTGTTGTTGAACTTGTTGTTGAACTTGTTGTTGAACTTCTTGTTGACCTTGTTGTGGAACTTGTTGATGAACTTGTTGTTGAACTTGTTGATGAACTTGTTGTTCAACTTGTTGTTGAACTTGTTGTTAAACTTGTTGTTGACCTTGTTGTTGACCATGTTGTTGAACTTGTTGTTGAACTTGTTGTTGAACTTCTTGTTGACCTTGTTGTGGAACTTGTTGATGAACTTGTTGTTGAACTTGTTGATGAACTTGTTGTTGAACTTGTTGTTGAACTTGTTGCTGAACTTGTTGCTGAACTTGTTGTTGAACTTGTTGTTGAACTTGTTGTTGAACTTGTTGTTGAACTTGTTGCTGAACTTGTTGCTGAACTTGTTGTTGAACTTGTTGTTGACCTTGTTGTTGACCTTGTTGTTGAACTTGTTGGTGACCTTGTTGTTGGCCTTGTTGTTGAACTTGCTGTTGAACTTGTTGTTGAACTTGTTGTTGAACTTGTTGTTGAACTTGTTGCTGAACTTGTTGTTGAACTTCTTGTTGAACTTGTTGTTGAACTTGTTGCTGAACTTTTTGCTGAACTTCTTGTTGAACTTGTTGAACTTGGTGTGCGCAAGGAGGTTGCTGAGATTGGCTCATTGCATCCAACCTTTTTCTAAGCTCCTTTTTCTCCTGCATCAGCTGTTGCACCAACAGTGAGCTTAAATCCTGCTCCAATGCTGGGCCCCTTTGATCCTTTGATTGGACCTTTTTTGGCTCTGCATGGGTTTCTTTTCCTTGCAGATGATCTTGGCCTTGTCGTTGAAAACTATCTTCACCTCTTGGTCGGCTTCGATCTTTGCGTTGGTGATCTGCCGAAAGTCCAGGAGGATCTCGGTCATTACCGTGGTCGCGATGAAGGTCTTCAGGACTCCTTTGGCTGACTCGTTGGCCCTGCCCTCGTTGCAGAGCTGCATCATCACCATGTGAACCTCGAAGAACATCACCTAGGAGATGGAGAGAACGTTGCCTTTGTCCAGCAGCGTTGCCACCCCTTTCTCCCTGATCTTGCCGTAGAGGTCCTTGAGAACGAAGCACATCACCACGTCGTTCCCTTTGATCGTTTCCCCTTCACCACCAAGAGGGCCAAGAAGATCTACTTGAGGAATTCTTGCACAAGAAGATTGATGCGCTAGGTCCCCATCCAAGTCGAAGAGGTTGAAGTTGGTTGCCTCCTCATTCATCCTGAACACCTGGGGGCCCTGTGTTCCTGGAGTTTGTGGATCCCAGCTGCTAGGTGTTTCAAATGCCTTTGAGTTGGCACTTGGCCTTGACTTCAAACCATTCCCCCACCGCTGCCCATCGCCCAAGAAGTCCTTGCGCCGGTCTTGGTGTTTCATCTCCCTGATCCCATTCATCAGCAGGAACAGGAGGTAGACTTCCGAGCGTTCCCGGAATCTGCGGCAAGGTGGGCGGTGTTAGCCCATCCACCACAGCTGCATCTTGCACTCTTCGAGACCAAAAAGGGTTCACCTGCTCATCCCCATTCATGTAGAGATGCCCTTCTCGATGTCCAGGTTCGCTTCTCCCACGACGATGCGCCATGTTTCAGCAAAGCGAGGTTCGGTTTGGGCTCATAACCTGCTTGCGGAGCAGCGAAACATCCGTTTTGTTTGGGCAAAAGAAGCCTACAGCGGGACAGTCAGTTGAAACCCACTGCAGGATACTGCAGGCATGTTTGTGGTTCATGCGTAGTGTACAGATACCACACTTGATCATAGCCTGTAAGGCCAGCTTTGAAAATGCTACATGCAGTCCGAAAATAAGGTCCAACTACGCCTATATCCCATGTCTTATCATCATGTTCCCAATGTTCCCGATTCCAACTACTATAAGTTGCTATAATTTGAGGTATTCCTCATTTTTTGCAAAAGCTCTCTGCAAGCCAAGGAACTCACGGTGGTGAAGCCAGAAGACAATGTCAATACGCAACTGCCAAATGCTGCCGAGCTAATTTCGGTTTTGGCAGTAGACAACGGCTTCTCAACTCGGGAATCTGTTTCGGAGCCCAAATAAGCATCGTTTGTGAGCACATAATTCCACTGCAAGGGCGTGTACAAGTTCGCCTTGATTGGGCGTTAAAGTCAGGTGATGTGGCAAGCTTTAAGATTTTCTAAGATGATAGGACCTGATAGGATGATAGTTATTCATTTCTGGCCCTCAGAAATCCCAAAGCCGCTCGCAGTGCGGGCAAGTGGCAAGGATTTGGTTGAATCGACAATCACCTCCATCGAAGAACCATGCTGTTTCAGCCCAGAAACTTGAGGTGCCGTCACAGCGGATGAAGCTTGGCACTGATTGAGTTGTGGTGTTGTCTTCCAGGCACAACTGCTGATTAGCAACGGTTTGGTCAAGAAAAGAATTTGTGATCTGCCCGAAGGAATTAATGGAAAAGACCGTGTTGGAGGTTAGAGAATCAGAGCCAATGGTCAAGGGTGCAGATTGCAAGCTGTAGCGGCCACCGCTGATAGCAGAGACTTGCAGACAAACAGCCCTCTTTCCTGCTGACACAATTCGCCCTCCGGTGTCAAAATAAAATCTGTCAGTGCATGCATCGCTGTATTTCACCTCGGTCCCTGTGCCAAGGTAGATGCACTGTCCAGTCTTTTCATTCCGCAATGGTGCAGCCGTGTCCTCGGAAGCATCTCGGCAGCCGGAACTGAAGTAGCCGAAATGGTACTGCAGTTTCCTTTTCTCCTTAGTCAAAAGTTCGCTTCGTACTCAAATACAAACAAAACTGAAGCTGGACGCACTTGGAATTCAACATGCATAACTCAAAATGACATGACATGAACGCTTTCTTGCAGCTTTCCTGTCGTGACTGTGAAATTTGGAATCCATCCACACAGAGAAGATCGCAAAACTCGATGTATGAGATGTTTTTGTTCCCATAACAACCTCCTTTTCTAGGGAATTTCACAGCTAGCCACGTTTGGTGATACCGGAGGTAATTTCGATTTAACCACAAAAATCCGCATCTGCTTGGTTGTTCAGCCAGCTGAAGCCCAAAATACGAGATGGTCCATATAAAGGGAACCGGGATGGGTCATGCTTGTGTACTTCAAGCTGTTTGGGCAAGAAGATGTTGAATCTTTGCATGTGAGACAAGGATCAATGTAGTAAATCTCTGCCAAGGTAAATTCCAGCTTGGGTGTAAAGTCTGGCTGGGCAATCTGGATGCAGCTGATGCAGTTCCATTTGGAAAGCCCCGGATCACCTTCAGGATTCCGCCAGATTCCATCCACGCAGGTCAAGACTCCGAAGCCCAGAACTCGTTCCTTGGTGGTTACCTTGGATGGAACAAGTTGCGACAAGACAACGCCGTATATCCGCCGACCCTGGCCGACAGCAAGGGGGAGCGCGTCAGGGCAGAGAGGTTTTGAAGCTATGGTTTTACTGCCGGGAGGTGATTACCAGGCTAAGAGCAGCGGCAGCAGTGCAGCAGCTAGCAGCCAGCCAGCAGCAGCCAGCAGCTTTTAACAGCTTGTAACAAGGTGGAAATAAGGTGGAAAAATGATATTTTTGTAGGATTTCAGAAGGGACGTTCCGGCCTCGAAAAACGTAGATTTTGACATCGGTTCGTCCTTTAGGGCCATGCTGTTTTACTGCCGGGAGGTGTTTCGCAGGCGTTCGCCCGCAGTAGCAGTAAGAGCAGCGGCAGCAGTGCAGCAGCTAGCAGCCAGCCAGCAGCAGCCAGCAGCGTTTAACAGCTCTTAACAAGGTGGAAATAAGATGGAAAAATGATATTTTTGTAGGATTTCAGAAGGGACGTTCCGGCCCCGAAAAACGTAGATTTTGGCATCGGTTCGTCCTTTAGGGCCATGCTGCCATGCTGTTTTACTGCCGGGAAGTGTTTCGCAGGCGTTCGCCAGCAGAAAGAGCAGCCGCAGCAGTGCAGCAGCTAGCAGCCAGCTAGCAGCCAGCCAGCAGCAGCCAGCAGCTTTTAACAGCTTGTAAAAGGGTGGAAATCCGCCGACCCCGGCAGACGCAAGGGGGAGCGCGCCAGGGAATAAGACATTTGGCTGCCTTTGCAGCATTAGCAGCACTAGGCAGCAGCATCAACAGCAGCCGAGCACCAGTACACCATGCAGCATCAGCACAGCACAGCAGCAGGAAGGCCATGTTTGACACAGTTTTTCTACGGTTTCAGACGACACGGACGTCACGTTAGGCAGTTTTTGGGCTACATTTTGTCGCCGTTCCGTCCTTCACTGCCACTGCGTTTCCCTGTCCGGGAGGGCTGCCTTTGCAGCATTAGCAGCACTAGGCAGCAGCAGCCAAGCACCAGTACACCATGCAGCATCAGCACAGCACAGCAGCAGGAAGGCGATGCTTGACACAGTTTTTCTACGGTTTTAGACGACACGTTAGGCACTTTATGGGCTCGATTTTGGCGTTGTTCCGTCCTTCAGGGCCACTGTGTTTCCCTGTCCGGCAGGGTGCGTTTCGAGCTTCGGAAGAGCAGCAGCAGCAACAGGAGCAGCAGGACGGTTCTATGTCTCATATGTCTCATTGTACAACCAGTGGTATAAAAACTAGTCGAAAACTATTGTTTTTATTTTCTAGGGTTTCAGAAAGGACGTTAGGGAGTTTTTGGGCTCGATTTTGGCGCTGTTCCGTCCTTCAGGGCCACTGTGTTTCCCTGTCCGGCAGGGTGCGTTTTCAGCCTCGGGAGGAAGAGCCGCAGCAGCAACAGGAGCAGCAGGAGGGTTCTATGTCTCATATGTCTCATTGTACAACCAGTGGTAAAAAAACTGGTCGAAAACTATTGTTTTTATTTTCTAGGGTTTCAGAAAGGACGTTAGGGAGTTTTTGGGCTCGATTTTGGCGCTGTTCCGTCCTTCAGGGCCACTGTGTTTCCCTGTCCGGCAGGGTGCGTTTTCAGCTTCGGGAGGAAGAGCAGCAGCATCTGTGTCTCATTGTACAAACAGTGGTATAAAAACGTGTTTCCCTGTCCCATTGTACAACCAGTGGTAATAAAACTGGTCGAAAACTATTGTTTTTCTAGGGTTTCAGAAGGGACGTTAAGCAGTTTTTGGGCTCGATTTTGGAGCTGTTCCGTCCTTCAGAGCCACTGTGTTTCCCTGTCCGGCAGGGTGCGTTTTCAGCTTCGGGAGGAAGAGCAGCAGCAGCAACAGGAGCAGCAGGAGGGCTCTATGTCTCATATGTTTCATTGTACAACCAGTGGTATAAAAACTGGTCGAAAACTATTGTTTTTCTAGGGTTTCAGAAGGGATGTTAGGGAGTTTTTGGGCTCGATTTTGGCGCTGTTCCGTCCTTCAGAGCCACTGTGACGGCAGGGTGCGTTTTCAGCTTCGGAAGGAAGAGCAGCAGCAGCAACAGGAACAGCAGGAGGGTTCTATGTCTCATACTCATTGTACAACCAGTGGTATAAAAACTGGTCGAAAACTATTGTTTTTCTAGGGTTTCAGAAGAGAAGGGACGTTAGGCAGTTATTGGGCTCGTTTCTGGCGCCGTTCCGTCCTTCAGGGCCACTGTGTTTCCCTGTTCGGCAGGGTGCGTTTTCAGCTTCGGGAGGAAGAGCAGCAGCAGCAACAGGAGCAGCAGGAAGGTTCTATGTCCCATCGTACAACCATGGCAGTGGTATAAAAACTGGTTTCAGAAGGGACGTTAGGGAGCTCGATTTTGGCGCGTTCCGTCCTTCAGGGCCACTGTGTTTCCCTGTCCGGCAGGGTGCGTTTTGAGCTTCGGGAGGAAGAGCAGCAGCAGCAACAGGAGCAGCAGGAGGGTTCTATGTCTCATTGTACAAACAATAGTACAAAAACTGGTCGAAAACTATTGTTTTTCTAGGGCTTCAGAAGGGACGTTAGGCAGTTTTTGGGCTCGTTTCTGGCGCCGTTCCGGCCTTTGTGTTTCCCTGTCCGGCAGGGTGCGTTTTCAGCCTCGGGAGGAAGAGCAGCAGCAGCAACAGGAGCAGCAGGAGGGTTCTTGTACAACCAGTGGTATAAAAACTGGTCGAAAACTATTGTTTTTCTAGGGTTTCAGAAGGGACGGACGTTAGGCAGTTTTTGGGCTCGTTTCTGGCGCCGTTCCGGCCTTTGTGTTTCCCTGTCCGGCAGGGTGCGTTTTCAGCTTCGGGAGGAAAAGCAGCAGCAGCAACAGGAGCAGCAGGAGGGTTCTATGTCTCATATGTCTCATTGTACAACCAGTGGTATTAAACTGGTCGAAAACTATTGTTTTTCTAGGGTTTCAGAAGGGACGTTAGGCAGTTTTTGGGCTCGATTTTGGCGCTGTTCCGTCCTTCAGGGCCACTGTGTTTCCCCGTCCGGCAGGATGCGTTTTCAGCCTCGGGAGGAAGAGCAGCAGCAGCAACAGGAGCAGCAGGAGGGTTCTGTGTCTCATTGTACAAACAGTGGTATAAAAACGTGTTTCCCTGTCCCTTTGTACAACCAGTGGTATAAAAACTGGTCCAAAAGTATTGTTTTTCTAGGGTTTCAGAAGGGACGTTAGGGAGTTTTTGGGCTCCATTGTGGCGCTGTTCCGTCCTTCAGGGCCACTGTGTTTCCCCGTCCGGCAGGGTGCGTTTTCAGCCTCGGGAGGAAGAGCAGCAGCAGCAACAGGAGCAGCAGGAGGGTTCTGTGTCTCATTGTACAAACACTGATATAAAAACGTCTTTCCCTGTCCCATTTCACAACCAGTGGTATAAAAACTAGTCGAAAACTATTGTTTTTATTTTCTAGGGTTTCAGAAGGGACGTTAGGGAGTTTTTGGGCTCGATTTTGGCGCTGTTCCGTCCTTCAGGGCCACTAGGTTTCCCCGTCCGGCAGGGTGCGTTTTCAGCTTCGGGAGGAAGAGCAGCAGCAGCAACAGGAACAGCAGGAGGGTTCTATGTCTCATATGTCTCATTGTACAACCAGTGGTTTTAAAAAAAAAATGATCGAAAACTATTGTTTTTCTAGGGTTTCAGAAGGGACTTTAGGCAGTTTTTGGGCTCGTTTCTGGCGCCGTCCCGTCCTTCAGGGCCACTGTGTTTCCCTGTCCGGCAGGGTGCGTTTTGAGCTTCGGGAGGAAGAGCAGCAGCAGCAACAAGAGCAGCAGGAGGGTTCTATGTCTCATTGTACAAACAATAGTACAAAAACTGGGCGAAAACTATTGTTTTTCTAGGGCTTCAGAAGGGACGGACGTTAGGCAGTTTTTGGGCTCGTTTCTGGCGCCGTTCCGGCCTTTGTGTTTCCCTGTCCGGCAGGGTGCGTTTTCAGCTTCGGGAGGAAGAGCAGCAGCAGCAACAGGAGCAGCAGGAGGGTTCTATGTCTCATATGTCTCATTGTACAACCAGTGATATAAAAACTGGTCGAAAACTATTGTTTTTCTAGGGTTTCAGAAGGGACGTTAGGCAGTTTTTGGGCTCGATTTTGGCGCTGTTCCGTCCTTCAGGGCCACTGTGTTTCCCCGTCCGGCAGGGTGCGTTTTCAGCCTCGGGAGGAAGAGCAGCAGCAGCAACAGAGGCAGCAGGAGGGTTCTGTGTCTCATTGTTAAACAGTGGTATAAAAACGTGTTTCCCTGTCCCTTTGTACAACCAGTGGTATAAAAACTGGTCGAAAACTAATTGTCTTCTAGGGTTTCAGAAGGGACGTTAGACAGTTTTTGGGCTCGTTTCTGGCGCCGTTCCGTCCTTCAGGGCCACTGTGTTTCCCTGTCCGGCAGGGTGCGTTTTCAGCCTCGGGAGGAAGAGCAGCAGCAGCAACAGGAACAGCAGGAGGGTTCTATGTTTCATTGTACAAACAATAGTACAAGGACTGATCGAAAACTACTGTTTTTCTACGGTTTCAGACGACACGTTAGGCACTTTTTGGGCTCGATTCTGGCGCCGTTCCGTCCTTCAGGGCCACTGTGTTTCCCTGTCCGGCAGGGTGCGTTTTCAGCATCGGGAGGAAGAGCAGCAGCAGCAACAGGAGCAGCAAGAGGGTTCTTGTACAACCAGTGGTATAAAAACTGGTCGAAAACTATTGTTTTTCTAGGGTTTCAGAAGGGACGTTAGGGAGTTTTTGGGCTCGATTTTGGCGCTGTTCCGTCCTTCAGGGCCACTGTGTTTCCCTGTCCGGCAGGGTGCGTTTTCAGCTTCGGGAGGAAGAGCAGCAGCAGCAACAGGAGCAGCAGGAGGGTTCTATGTCTCATATGCCTCATTGTACAACCAGTGGTATAAAAACTGGTCGAAAACTATTGTGTTTCTAGGGTTTCAGAAGGGACGTTAGGCAGTTTTTGGGCTCGTTTCTGGCGCCGTTCCGTCCTGGGCCACTGTGTTTCCCTGTCCGGCAGGGTGCGTTTTCAGCCTCGGGAGGAAGAGCAGCAGCAGCAACAAGAGCAGCAGGAGGGTTCCGTGTCTCATTGTACAAACAGTGGTATAAAAACGTATTTCCCTGTCCCATTGTACAACCATTGGTATAAAAAGTGGTCGAAAACTATTGTTTTCTAGGGTTTCAGAAGGGACGTTAGCGAGTTTTTGGGCTCGATTTTGGCGCTATTCCGTCCTTCAGGGCCACTGTGTTTCCCTGTCCGGCAGGGTGCTTTTTGAGCTTCGGGAGGAAGAGCAGCAGCAGCAACAGGAGCAGCAGGAGGGTTCTATGTCTCATTGTACAAACAATAGTACAAAAACTGGTCGAAAACTATTGTTTTTCTACGGCTTCAGACGACGCGTTAGGCACTTTTTGGACTCGATTCTGGCGCCGTTCCGTCCTTCAGGGCCAGTGTGTTTCCCTGTCCGGCAGGGTGCGTTTTCAGCCTCGGGAGGTAGAGTAGCAGCAGCAACAGGAGCAGCAGGAGGGTTCTATGTCTCATATGTCTCATTGTACAACCAGTGGTATAAAAACTGGTCGAAAACTATTGTTTTTCTAGGGTTTCAGAAGGGATGTTAGGGAGTTTTTGGGCTCGATTTTGGCGCTGTTCCGTCCTTCAGGGCCACTGTGTTTCCCTGTCCGGCAGGGTGCGTTTTCAGCTTCGGGAGGAAGAGCAGCAGCAGCAACAGGAGCAGCAGGAGGGTTCTATGTCTCATATGTCTCATTGTACAACCAGTACAACCAGTGATATAAAAACTGGTCGAAAACTATTGTTTTTCTAGGGTTTCAGAAGGGACGTTAGGCAGTTTTTGGGCTCGTTTCTGGCGCCGTTCCGTCCTGGGCCACTGTGTTTCCCTGTCCGGCAGGGTGCGTTTTCAGCCTCGGGAGGAAGAGCAGCAGCAGCAACAGGAGCAGCAGGAGGGTTCTGTGTCTCATTGTACAAACAGTGGTATCGCTCTCTCTTTTTCCGGGGTCGGCGGCAGGGGCGGCAGCCCTTAAATTCGGCTCCGCCGGCTCCACACGAGTGGCTTGCCGTACGAGCGTCCCAGAGCGACTAGAGCTCTAAGGTAAGGCCGCCCCAAGCCGCCGACCCTCGGACGCCGGGCCCCGAAAAACGCTAAAAATCCTTCAGGAGGGTGGGGGAGAGCTTTTTGGCCGGAATCCGGGTCGCTCATAAGCGTCTCCAAGAGCATTCCCCCCCCCCGTTTTGAGGGTACCTAAAATCGGAAAAAAGTGTCGTTTTGACACATTTTTCGGACGATTTTTCGCTTTTCGAAAGTGACAAAATGCTGTAAATTACAGCATTTTTGCGTTTTGACGTCTTTTGCGGGAGCAATGAAAAAAAGCAGAACATGCTGTAAATACCAATACTTTTTAGACCGGAGATGCACAAAACACTGCAAATACCAGTGTTTCTGAAAGCAAAGCAAAAAAAACACTGTAAATTACAGCATTTTTGGCGGGTTGATCGCAAAAACTGCTGGTATTCACAGTGCTTTTGCAATTTCAAGAAAACGTGGAAGGCACGAAACACTGTAAATAGCGGTGTTTTAGCCACTTTTGGGCGCTGAAACGCTAGTATTTACGCAGTTTTTTGCCCGTGACGGCGCCAAACCCCTGTAAATTACAGCATTTTTTGCACTTTTTGAACCGATGTTTTGCCTTGATGAACGCAAAAAAACGCTGGTATTTACGCGTTTCCCAAAAAATCGAAGATCGTGACGTGAACGAAACCCTGTAAATAACAGTGTTTTAGCCACTTTGGGGGACTAAAACTGTGGTATTTACGCGGGTTCTTGCCAGCTGACAGCGCAATATGCTGTAAATTACAGCACTTTGTGCGCTGTTTATGTTCAATTTTTAAACGCGCGATGCTTTCACATGTTCTTTGCATTATTTTGCATTCTTCCACAAGAAACAACGTTGCAGATTGAAACTGGACGACAACGTGACCCGAAAGAAAGCTGGAGGGAGGAGACGCACAGAAGCTTTTATCCACACACACAGGGGCTGTCACAGGGGCTTTTACACAGAGAAGTCTTTACACAAAGGAGCTTTTTACATACAGAAGGTTTTACACAGAGAAGTCTTTACTCTAAGGTGCTTCTGCAGACAAACGTCTAGGACCTAGGAGCTTTTACACACAGAAGTTTTTACACGAAGAAGTCTTTACACAGAGGGCTTTTTACACACAGACGCGTTTGCACACAGAAGCTTTTACACAGAGAAGCCTTTACACAGAGGAGCGTTTACACACCAAAGCGTTTACACACAGCAAGCTTTTACATACGCAGGGGCTTTTACACATTTACACAGAGTAGCTTTTTACACACAGAAGGTTTTACACAGACAAGTCTTTCCTCTGAGGAGCTTTTTCACACAAACATCTTGGAGCTTTTACACACAAAAGCTGTTACACAAAGAAGTCTTTACACAGAGAGCTTTAACACACAGACGCGTTTACACACAGAAACTTTTACACAGAGAAGCCTTTACACAGAGAGTTTTTATACACGGAAGCTTTTACACAGAGAGAAATCTTTACAAAGACGTGCTTTCACACAGAGAAGCGTTTACACAAAAAAGTCTTTACACAAAGTGGTTTTTACACACAGAAACTTTTACACACAAAAGCTTTTACACAGAGAAGTCTTTGCACAGAGGCGCCTTTACACGAAGTAACAAGTTGAAATCGGCAGCAGTTCTTTAGGAAAAACCCTTCGCAGGATCTTTCGGGAACTCACTTGCTCCCCAAAAAATCGTCTATTCCAACAAATATGTTCCAAAAAACCTAAGGAATATATTTCTGAAGCAGGTCCTCATTCAGTAACTTTCACGCCCACACTGCGATGAAATGGAGGGCCGAGTGGTCCGGCGGAGCCGACGAGGG